GTTGATAAGCAAGGTCAAACTTTAATTTATCAATTAATTCAACTGGTTTTGAGGCTCGAATCCAGTGCTTTCTTTTCTTGTAGCCGGTGTTAGTATCTTTTAGCGATCCATTGTCTGTGTCTTTGTAGAATAGCGGACAAGTCGCTTGGGAATTTATATAATCAGTTCCGTACGTCAAAACTGTTTCTAAATAAGCTTTGTACATGTAACAGTTATTGCTAGTTGAAACAAGTTGATTATTTATGCTAACATCACATTGCGAAAACAGAGAATGCATAAATAAGTTAGAAGTACTAACCTCTGCTGCCGCTGGTAAATCTTTTCCATCAGCTGCAACAACTTTTACTCGAAGATAACAGAAATGGTCAAACAAATCAAGATATTGCGAAGCATTTCCACTTATTCGAAAATCGATTTTTGCATCATTATCTTGAATATTTACAACGGGTTTATATTCTGCGTCGAAACTGGATTCAACCGTTGTGTCTGTAGGCGGAAGACCAAACAACTCTACTTGTCCTCTTATAGACGGTTGAGAGAACTCGTTGATTAATGCCATTATCCAAATATATCCCGTTTACTAAAAATTGATCTTCTTTTCTTAGATGTATTTGGTGTTTTTCTTTTGCCGACTGATTTTACTGATGAAGATTTTGATTTCTTTTGGTTTGACGAGTGATGTGATTCGTGCAACACCTTACACTCTTCTGACGTTGCTCCTAGTAAAGCTTTTCGTTTTCTAGAACCTAATCCAGCTCCTTCTTGTGGTTTAAGAATAGATTTTCCAACGTTTTTTGCCATTTTAATAACATTTGATTTAAGGGCTGTTTTTATTGGATGACCATTTGAAATATCAGATACTGTACTCATAATTGCTGGCGCTGCATGGGGTAGAATATATTTGGTAATGAGCGGTAATCCGTATCGACCAATAAACCCTAGAATACTTCCTAGACCACCTCCTTTCTGCCGGTGACCGCTAAACACGGGAATGCCTTTACCAATTTGATTTTCTAACACGTGGTGATAGTGTTCGTGGTGAAATATATGAACATGCTTCATTTTTTTTGGATTAGTAGTACCTTGGGAAAAAGGATAAAAACAGTGTGAAGCTTCGTAGGCTAGCAGTTGAATAATAGAAGTTGCCAAGAAAAGTCTTTACTTTTAAGCGAAAAATCATGTCATTTTACCTACATCTTCCTTCTAATGTTAGCCCACGATACTATCCTAATAACAGGATGTCGTTATATAAAACCAAACTTCCAAAACGTTTGAATTTTATATCTAACGAATATGAAGTAGCTATTACGGAGTTTACCTATGTAAATTCTTTGAAAACGTTTCAGCACGATGACGCAAGACGAATACTATTTCCCAGTGATCCAGAAAACAATATTGGTCATCGCATGGTTAAAAATAAACAATACCAAGATGTGCAGTCACTTGTTGAAGAAGTCAATCTCTGCTTAGTCGTTAAAGACGAAGTTTATGCAAGTTTTGCATATAACCCTGGAACAAATAGAGTACATTTTTTACAGGGTTGTGGAACGTTCTATTTAAGTGTTTGTTTAGCTAACATATTAGGGTTTGATCTATATGCCCTTGATGATATGTGTCGATTTGACGTTAGTAGGATAGCAACCGACTCCCCCAATCTTTCTAGGGGGATATATCATATTTTTATATATAGTGATATAATTAAAAGTCAAATTGTGGGAGACTGTCTTTGTCCCCTACTAAGAATGGTCAATGTAACTGCAAAGAAAAATGAAGCGGTGACTCACGAATTTCGTCCTTATTATTTACCACTAAGTCAACTTGAATTTGACACAATCGAAATTCTTTTATGTGACGAATTTGGCGACGAGCTTCAGTTTGAAAAAGGACAGTGCATAGTAACGTTGCATTTTCGAAAACAGCAGAATGGAAATTGAAGGTCATTCTCTAAAGCTTTTACATCCCTTCTCGTTAATTATTTCCGGAGTCTCCCAATCAGGAAAATCAGAGTTTGTTAAAAAACTACTGACTCACGATACACAATTAATTGAACCCTGCCCAAGTAGGGTAATTGTTTCTTACACAGAAAATCAACCTGCTTATGATGATATGGCAAAACATAATAATCGGATAGAATTTAGACAAGGATTGGATTTTGATATGTCTGAATTTAGTAACAAAAACCCAACTTTATTAATAATTGATGACCAAATGAAGGATGTGCTGACGAACGAAAAAATTCAAACGTTATTCACAAGAGGAATTCATCATAATTCAGTATCAGTGATTCTATTAACACAAAATCTATATCCTCAAGGAAAATTCGGACGCGATATACGGCTAAATTGTCATTATATGGTAATTATGAGGTCTCCCACGTTCGCATCTCAAATACAATATTTAGGTAAACAGCTCTTTCCACACAATACTCATTTCCTATCTGATGCCTATAAAAGAGCGACTGAGCAACCGTACTCGTACTTATTCCTTAATCTACACCCTTTGTGCAACGACAGAACCAGAGTGCTCCAAGGAATTTTTTCAGACGAACCAAAATACGTGTACATACCAAAATGAAGTACGTTATTGAATTTGAAGGATATTTACTTTCAAGAGGATTTGTCTTTAAAGAAATAACAATTTGTAATATTGAGTATACCGAGCAGCCATATTGCTTCCAGAAACATTTCTTTATTAAACCCCCCTGTCATTTCAACTCTCTTACTGCCCCTGAAAGGCGTATAGTGAAGTACTGTTAAAATAGACTTCATAAAATTTACTGGTTTGCTGGGCGGGAAAATTTTAATAGAGTTTTGGCGTATTTGTCTACTTTAAACGGCGCTACAGTATACACCAAAGGACTACAAAAAGCAAACGTTTTGAAGAATTTGGGATTTAACTGGACTGTTATTAACACAGAGGATTTATTACTTGAAAATATCAAGGAACGTTCTGAAAATCCGGGTTTACAAGACTCTGTTGAATGTCCTCTCTCATTCCATATTGGCAACGCTCAATGCTCACATGCTAAAGCATTAAAAATTGTCAACGATTTGTCAAGCTACATGAGAAATGAGTCACTGTCTAAATCGGAACCTCTCCTTCCTGAAGAAACTTGTGACATGCAAGGGGTTGAAGAGGAAGAAGATCATTCAGGAAGCATCCCCGGACGAGATACGAGCACTAAGTGAAATTGCTGTAAATATTTTAGAAGGTCGTTTTCAAGTAGACGAGGAAACAAGAAAGAAATTACACAAACACAAAGATCAAATCAGGGAATTATCAAAAAAGTCAAAATCTCATAAAAGCAAGAAGGAACATTTAGTACAGAAAGGAGGTTTTCTTACATTTTTAATAACGCCAGTGCTTTCAGCTCTTGGTGCAATAGCAGGACGAGCAATTAGTTCACACTTAGGGTTCTAAAGTTAAAAAAGTAAAAATGTCGAAAAAAATGAGAGTTGTTAGTGAAGACGAGTATTCCCAGCTTCTAAAAAAGACCAACACACTGGATCATGCTAAAACTCACTTTTTTACGGACAAGGGTCAGGAAGCTACATCAGTTTTAGAATCCTTAATTCCGGAGGATATTAAAGTCCAATTGTACAGTAGTTTAATGAAGCGTGTAAATAGTCAGCTAAGACATTTTAGATAAACCTATTTCCGTTAGAATGGTTGCCGGTGAAGATAAAACATCCTTGGGGAAAAGTAATGCTGCCTCCACTCTTGAAACTCCCCCGCCTGTAACTCCTTCTAGTACAGGGTCTACTCCAGTTGGTTCCCCTGAAAAATTCTCGTTGTCTGAAACAGATATAAAAATGCTAAAAGAGTTTCCTACCTCTCTAATGAGTAAAGCTCACAGTCTGCTAGGGTTTTTAAAGTGTCATCCTGAAATGATAAAATGGGATAAATCAGGACGAGTAACTTTCTGGGGAGGCGAGTATGAACCCGACTCTAACATTTCGGATTTAATGAGTTACTCCATTAGAGATTTGACATGGACCAAATATCCTAACGGAATCAACAGATTCCTGAGAGTGTGCAAAATGTTAAATGTCCCCACCGCTCTATTTTCATCTGTAGTGAGAAATGATCTTATTGGTACCTTAGATTCTATTCCTCTAAAACAGACAGCTACAGACAGTGCTCATAAGCTGTCGAGCTTCAGTGCATGGGCACCTTTAAACCAAAATGATGCTCTCAATAAGACCTTTGACCCTTATCGTACTCCAACGGGAATTCCCCAAAGACCTCGCAACAGTAAGGACGTGACATCAAGACAGAAGGCTTCATATGCCCCTCCACATAATGACAGAATGTTTTTTGACTGAGGTATGTGGTTATGTAAAAATTGTTTAAATAATTTCATAAACTATGCTAAAATAGTACAGCATATTAGAGATATGCTCATTGTAGTGTCAGACCTCGTGCGATACAGTTCTAACCAAAAAAGGTTTTTCGTATTTGTTTATTTAAAATTTTGAACATGGCTCTCCAAGATGAAACTATCCCAACTCTGGTCTATAAACCATACGATATTGACAACAAAGATATGTGTCAAAATAATGATCGTTTAGCAACATTCAAGAACTGGACCGGAAAATGTAAGCAGAATCCCCAAAATTTTAGTGAAGCAGGATTTTACTCTACCGGATATGGAGATCGGCTTGCTTGTTATTATTGTGGAATAATAATACATAATTGGCTACCAACGGATGATCCCTGGATTGAACACTCTATTCATTGAAGTGACTGTCCATTCCTCTCTTTGCACAAATCTAAATTGCAGACTATTTTATCGAAGGATTTAGATCAAAGTTATACTTACCAAAAATATGATGTAATTTTGCTTTTGATATTTATTTTATTATTTTTATTATTATTCTTTGTTATATTTATGTTATAAATGCTTTTTATATTTTGAATTTTATGAAGACAATTATTCTACTTTCTGTTATTACAGAGTCTATGCAAACAGATGAGTTCGTCAAATGATGAAAATCAAGAAAAAGCTACTCTCACACTCCTTCATAGCCTGATGGAAACATTTCTGTGTTCGGTGTGTAAAGTCGAAGAAGCTAATTACCTGTTTACTCCATGTTGTCACATTTGTTCCTGCTTGCCATGCTCTACTACCCAAGACCTATGTCCTATTTGTAGATGTCAAATTAAGGGGATAACAAAAGTTTTCAAACCTTAAATTGCACATATTTTATTTTATTATTTATATCTTTGTAATTTTAATCATTTTGTTGTTTTGTTTAATCTGTACAATATTTCACTAAATAAATAATTGGTACTTGTTAATTACTAATTTTACTTGTTGTATACAGGAATTAAAAAATGATTGTGGGCAAGTGTACTAATTCCGTCCGGTAAAATAAACCTTTTGGAATCAAAGCTATGCAAAGCTACTTTTGTATAATTTGCAGTTGTTAGTTTATGCTTTTTTGATCGAATCAAATTCATTCTGCACATATACTTGGTTTGCTCAAACAAAGTCTCCATAAAGATTTTGTGAGTTACGAATTTTCGTACCAAAGATTGTTTGACACCTTTCATAGCAATCTTATGGATATTCTTCCCCGCAAAAGAATACATCTTTGGAGAAACACCAACAAAACTATACATGATTTTTCCGTTACTCTCGTCCTTCATTTTTCCAATCACTTTCTTATTTTCTGTAGAATAAAGGTGATGGCTGGGGTCAAAATCACTAAAATCAAAATCTTTTTTCACCAGTTCTAAATCAGCATAAAGATCTGCAGTTTTAATTAGATAAGCTAAGCTGTCCGTATCGGTAAAAAGGAACCTAGCTTTAATTCCATACCATTTTTTGATCTTGTCATAATGCCAGACTTGCATAAACAACTTGCTGAGATCTAAAACCGTAAACGCTGTATATATTGGCTTATCCAATACAATACTAGGTTTATTCATGAAAAAAAGAACCAAGTTTGGAGAAATAATTTCAAATTTTCTGAAGTTTGAAAGCCTGGTAAAAAATTTTGCCCTTTCAATACTATTAACTATGTATACATTTTGTTGATTCCTAACATTCATCATGCTACGTCCAAAAATTGCATTAACTATCAGCTTGAAAAAGTCTTGCTCTGATTTGTTTGTAGATTGTCGTCGTAAATCACAACAAAGGTTTACAAAGTCTTTAAGCCAGGGTCTTTGAACAAATTTAATTATTTTGTGAATCTTTGTTAATACCATTCCCTTCTCCAAATAATATTTGAGATTTCTATAATGTACGGGATACATTTTTCTAGATCCTAAATGAGGAACTAATTTTTTCTGCTTTTCTGAATATTTTTTGTTATATGAAGTCAAAAGCTCCCTTTGATGCTTCGAGAGTTGATCCATCGAAATTGCAATTTTCTCAGGTGCCAATGGATATTCGTTGTGCTCACTCAATAGATGGAGCTCAGGGGGATACTCTAAATTAACAACCAAAATCCTACCGATTTCATCCTCATTACCCCATGCCCAAATATCAGCTATATTTAAATTATCTATGAACTCTTGACTTTCCCATTGAAAATCAGAGACAGGCAAAGGCTGTTGAAGAGCCTCACCGTACAAGTTGTTTTTGTCGATATAAAGAAGAAAAGAGTCTTCCTTGACTCCTTCTTCATAATTTTCCATATACTTATTGTAAGCTTCAGAATATCTATGAGATATCATAGACACTCCTCCTCTAATCCCTGACTCTATAGTATTGTACATGTCTTGATCAGTAACAAGCTCTAGCTTAACTTTTGTTCTTAGAAGAGCAGCATCCCAGCTAAAGCCTGGGAGACTAAAATAGTGACAAGGTTCCAGCTTAAAGTTAGAAATTGCCATATCCCTGTAGCTTTCAAAAACGCATGCCAAGAGAAGTACATCTGATGTTAAATATATGTCGTGATACGAACCCAGGTCAGTGCACTCGGTTTCAAACACTGACTTACCAAAATCATAATCTTCTTGTGAAATTCCTTCACAAGTGAGAGTGTTATAAAACTCCGAAATATCTGGAAATGAAGTTTCCTTAAATTTATCCCAAGAACTCATATAGGAGTATGGATAGACACCCTTTCTTGAGAGTTTTACAGCCTGTTCTTTTGAAAAATGTTGTATCATTATACCGAATTTGTCGTCAAAGCCTTCGGGTTTTGAATGGAGGTTTGTGACAAGAGTATCCAAAGATTTTGACAGATGCATGAATGAATCTATGAAGATGAATTTCTCGCAAATAATGCCTATAAATTTTTCAGAGTTTTGAGGGATAGCTATAGTATTCGCAATACCAAATTTTGTTGCTGAACTTAACATGAGATGAGAGTCATAATTTCTAAAATTATGCATAAGTACTGGAATTTTGACTTTTTGAACATACGAAGCATTACATTCTCTATGAGCAGCTCCTCTAAATAATCCAGTGTTGTGATCATGATCTCTAACTATTGCTGACTGATGATCAAAATCACGCTCACAAATGTGGCAGGATTCAGCTATAGAAAAGTCATATTCTTCCTCTGGAGAAAGTGGTTTCATAGTAATATGGAATTTGTTCCTTTGTATGCAAAAGCTAGCTTGTAGATTCACTTCATCTAAAAACTTGTCAAAGCTATTTAGACCACGATATTCCGATAAATGAACCAATTTCTTATTTGGCCCAATCACTGCAAGGTTATATCCTGAAATTTCGTGTTTTTCTAGGGAGGTTGTACTTGTATTATCATCTGTAAGTATCGCCTCAAAATCTGCATACATCACATAGTTACACTTTAGTTTATTACTAAGTTTTCTACTATCGAAAGAGCAAAATGGAATTTTTCCATCAACGACTGATGGAACAGAAATTTTTTGAGTTCTAAACTCAAAACACAACTGCTGATGTGAATCTAGACGCTTTTCATCTCCGAAAGTATTCAAGCAATTATAGCAAGCAAATTTTCGATGATGTCCCTGTTTATTAATCAAGCGAGAAAAATTAAGGATGGACATGTAATGTCCATGTTTCTTAAATTCATCCTGAATGTATAGAATATTGATGATTTTATGCACTCTGCTATTTGCATGAGGTGTTAATCGTAAAACGTTAAGCTGATCATCTTGATCAATACCAAACACATTTATACCAATTTTAATATGTTGGTGTCGTTTTTCGAATATTATAATATCTTTCAACGAAGTTGGAAACTTTAACGAAGAGAAATCGTAGTGAGTTTTAGAACCTTCATATTGAGATATTCTTCCTCGATGCCTGTTATCAATAGAATTTCCGTGCATGCAGATTAGAAAAGCTGAAACAAAGCAATCCTTTCCCTGATTATTGGGATTCACAATTGCATTTTTGTTTTTCAGATGGCTGGGAATGACGCAAGAACATCCACCCTTTAGTATTTCAAACTGAGCTGTTCTTATATCACAGCCTTTCACTTCATCTAATATCCAACCGCTACCATTTCGTTCGAAAATTTCTACATTGTTATCAATTTCATTAACCATGTCACCAAAAATGCGATTAATGTAGAGGGGGCTAAGGAGAATTTTTAAAGAGGAATTAAAATATTGTTCCGTTGTTTCCATAAATTCTACCTCTCTTTCATCCACGCTTGGATGCATACGTTTAAATTTACACAAAAGCGTTATTTGAAACTTAATGTTATTATAAACTGAAACATTGTGAAAAAGAATCTGATTAATTTTAAACTTAAATCTATTAAAAAAATCTCGAACGGAAATAATATTGTATTCGTATTCTAAGTCTGTATTCCTAAATCTGTATGTTTTCATGAAACCTTTGAAGGCTTCTATTTCAGAGAAAGGGAAAGCATTTAGTTGCACCCCTCTTCCTCTTTGAGCAAATTTCATCTTTTTTATAACTCCTCTTTTATGAGCTTCATTATGCTCTATAAGATCAAATATGTTGGCAGTGAATTCACAATATTCACATCTATGATAAGTATTCATATGTACTTCCAACAATTTTGACGATCTGAATGACATGGTGCAGTATTGACATAATCTTCTCTTGTTTTCATCCCGATGCCGTAATAAATGCGACGCAAAATGTTGTTTATATCCAGAAGTGAGTATTCTAAAAATGCTTGTGAGCAAATATGTATAACAACATCTTTTTTTATATCTCGGTGTGACGTCATTATTTTAATAGCAGGAATGTGTTGACATATAATAAAACATACCATCACTTCAACTCCATTACTGTAAAAAATATTAATTACCGCTTACCACTATTATTCATATTTTCTAAATATTTCAATTAGTAATTCCCTAGGGAGTTATTAAATTTTTACGGTATGTACTTATCTGGGAATTTTTTGTAAATTATTAAGAGTATAAAAGCAACTTACAAAGTAATGAGCAGGTTAGTTGTTGTTTCAACATTAAGTGCAAAGGATTTCCAAATAAGAAAAAAACTTTACAAACTCCGAAATGTCGCAGGGTAAGTTTTCCTAGAACACAAATAAAATTATTTTAAGAAACTTGACCAGCTTTGAGAAAATTTTTTAAATGCTGATAAATTATAAGTCTTTAATAAATACCAATATTTTAAATTATAGCTGGAATAAATGCAGTGGCAAGAGCACGAAAAATGTTAGAGGATGCGAAGCCAGGAAGTCGAGAGTCTGAGGAGGCACGAGCTTTCTTTCTTTCTCATCGTCGGCAGCCTGATGTCATTGATGCTGGTTTCGTCGTAGAGGACGATGAGGAAGAACCGAGCGGACCTTTCACTGATGAGGATGAGGAGGAAGAAGACGAGGAGGAGGACGATGATGATTCTCCATCTGAGCCAGAAGAGGATCCTGATTTTGTTCCTGCAAATGAACATTCGCAAAAACGTAAGATATTTACTGTGATTTATTAGGTATAATATTTATGGCTTATTTTTAATTTAATTGTAAATTAATTAACTTACAGGGCACAAACTTGTGGAGTTTACTTGAGTTGTTTGCAGCGCCTAAATCAAAGGGAAAGGAACCTGCAACAAAATCAAAGAAACTGGCGCCAGTTGTTAAAATCAAAAAAGTTGATTTAAGTTTTAAATTTTCATTGCTATTAATTGCAGAAAAGTCTCCGGCGGAGAAGAGGTCCAGAGTCAAGACTGTTCCTCCTTCTGGAGTTCCTTCGACGGCGCTTGTTCCTGTTGCCTATACTACGACTCCTGTTGCATGCTCATTTTCATCGGCTCCGGAGATCTATGAAGCATATGTACCTCCGACAAACTACAAAGGTCCTACTTCACTTAATTTTGCTCCTGAAGGGGAAAGAAGTGACCATCCTAGTGGACAAAATATTGTTCACTGGGAAGGTCAATTGGGCCAAGGTTTTTGGTTAAAATTACAAACCTGGCGAAAAAACGGTCAGGCTTACGTCTGCATCAGAAAGAATCAAACCACAGGGGCAAACCTGTCGTTCAAATATTTTCAATCGTTAGTTGCGGCGTGTAACACTCTTCAAACAAAGATTGAAACAGACCCTGACTATACTACATGGATCCCCTAAATCTTTTCAAATTTATACTAAAATCTATTTTTTCTTTACCTTTCATAAGCTGAACAAGTAAATTCCAATCAGGGAATCTGCAAAAATTCGGAAGGTCTTATAATAGTTTTAAATAACGATTATATACTGGGACATACACAGATTTTTCGCTGCTTACCTCTGTCACTGCAAAGAAAATTAAAATTTGTCAAATCTTGTAACGTAGCTATGACTTCGATTTTTAAAGCTAAAGAAAGTTGTCTTTTACCTGATGATTTTTGGTTCCCCGCTTTGATGGTGTCTCGCCATTATATGGATTGAATGTAGATTTCCTAAATATTTTAAATATATAAAAAAATAAGTCAATAATTATATCTACTAATTATATTAATAATTATATTAATAAAAAATATTAACCTCCTTCCAGATGAATATCGCACGGTACACTTTATTCGCAAGACCTTCGAAAGCAAATTTCCCACAAAGTTGCATCCTCAATCTGCTGGTTACGACCTGTACTCTCAATCAGGGGCATTACTTAAAGCAGGGGAAATGAAATTGATGGACATCGGAATTCAGGTTAAATTACCGTATGGCCATGTTGGTTTGATTAAACCAAGGTCCGGGTTAGCGTTGCGAAATAAAATTGACATTTTGGGCGGGGTGGTAGATGAAGACTTCGAGGGAACTTTGGGTGTTATGCTCATCAATCATGGGAAAGCTCCACATGAAATTGAACGTGGGGATCGGATTGCTCAGTTGTTGGTTGTCAAACTCCATAATGGACCGTTGAAGAAGTCTACTTTCGACGAGGTTGTTACCACCACCACCACCACACCGGTTGTTCCTCGGCGAGGAGCAAAAGGATTTGGCTCCTCTGGGAAATAAAAATGACTAATTTTAAATATATTCACTATAAAATAAGTACATTTTACTTAAAGTCACTTTCACTTTCACATTTTGCAACTGTTCTTAAAAGTTGTCGAAATTAAACTTGTGTGTATATATTGCACAGCACCTTGTTGCATTAGTTGATGAGCGAGCTCGTTGGAGCAGCAGCTGCTAACTTTCCTCTCTTGGTAACTTTCTCTTTCCGCTGTAAGACACAATGTTGCAGTTAGACGGAATCTTTAACTTAAAAACAAACAAAGAAAACAATTAATGAAAATCATGATAACTAAAATCTAAAATAATCAATGAACTAAGCATACAGAGCTTAATTTTGCAAATATTTTGCAATGAAATATGCGCATTTACATTTGTACATATATTGCATGTAACCATCACACTTAGAAAATAAAACTGTTTTTTACCATCCTACCTTTGTAGCTGTTGTTAAAATTTGTTAATTATCTCCATCTTGCATGACTCTTCATTAAATAAGTAAAATACTCACACAAACACACGCACACAAACACACACTTGATTGCAAATATTTACTATCGATTATCTCAAATAAATGTCCCAAATGCGTATAAATGCTACGTAAAATGTCAGCTGCGTAAAATGTGTGCTTTACAGCACTTTCACTTGAAGTTGGGAGCTGCGTGCAAGAGAGCGGGGCACGGTGGTGCTGGAGGTGAAGGTAGCGAACTCCAACCAGTTTGTTGGCGAGCTGCATAACAAATTTATTTAAAAATATTATTCGACTTTCTTTCGAGGTCGAGCTTTTATTTCACTGGTTTCACTTCGTCGCCCAGTCAAGACTGGGCGAGGAAGTGAGACCGCTATATCATCATATACCTAATAAAGTGCGGCAAAGCACGATACATAAGTAGCGCAATAATGCTGAAAATGCTGAGAATGCTGAGAATTAATTTGCGCTATAAAGCTCAAATTAATTCTCAATTAATTACTTTAATTAATTAATTAATTAATTGATTGATTGATTGATTGATTAATTAATTGATTAATGATTGATTAATTAATTAATTGATTGACTGATTGAGTAATTAATTGATTAATGATTGATTAATTAATTAATTGACCACATGCTCTATACTGTGACATGTCGACAACACAGAAAAACATGTTTTGCCTAAATTTCATGCATATTGGCCGCAGAATGCCGAAATTAAAGCATGGCGACAAAATTTGTCGTCGAAACCTTAGTCGCCATATTGCGACATGTCGACAACACCGAAAAACATGTTTTCCCCAAATTTCATGCATATCGACCGCAGAATGCCGAAATTAAAGCATGGCGACAAAATTTGTCGTCGAAACCTTAGTCGCCATATTGCGACATGTCGACAACACCGAAAAACATGTTTTTTCCCAAATTTCATGCAAATCGCCCAAAAAATGCAGAAATTAGGCCATGGCGACGAAATTTGTCGAAAAAAGTTTCGAAACCTTAATCGCCATATTGCGACATGTGGACAACACTAAACAACATGTTTTGCCCAAATTTCATGCAAATCGCCCAAAAAATGCAGAACTTAGGCCATGGCGACGTTTTTCGACAAGATGTTGACAAAGTGGCCACACCCCCTTAATAGGGTGTCACCCCACCCCCGTGATGAACATGTGTTAAAGTTTTCAGGTCGCTGCGACAAACGGTTCTCGAGTTATAGTATTGACAGAGGGACAGACGGACAGACTAACTAACCGATCGCATAAAGTAGCTTGCGCTACTTAATAAAAAATAAACCACGAACAATAATTTGATACCAAAATCTATGACGAAAAATTATGACGAAAATATACAAAATTTAAGAAGGGTTTCTTAAATAATGTAAAAAGTTGCGACATAACTTTATAAATTGTAACTAAAGCATATTAATTATTTTTCTTGCACCATTCAGGATTTTGGATTGACCTTACTAAACGTTTAAAACCATTTTTGCACATTAATTTCGTGCAGGTGTTTTTTAACAGCAGAAACACTGGCTTTGATTGATTCGATACATTGCATTGGAATTACGAAAAATTGATAAGGGATGCAGATCTACTTGAGAGTGCAGGATGTACAGGTGAATTTGTTTGTTAAACATAACGAATATGTAATTGACTGGGTTGATTAATCATAAAATAAATTGAATTATTTATCATTATTTGTTAACACGCCCTCATATCAGCTACTTGACTCGTGCTGTCCGTATGTCCGTCCATCCGTCACCGTGTTCTTATGGTCAAATTTTGGCATTAAGGAGGGGAGCTTCACCACTTGCCACTCACAGAATCCGATGCCCTTTGGATATGTTGTAGTACCCCATGAGTGTACTGAAACCCTGAAACGGTTTGACTCCATGGCCACATTTGCGCCCGCCACACCCACTCAAAGGTGCGGAAAACACGAAAATTATCAACTTCAAAAATTCGCCAAAAATCCAATTTTGATCGGATTTCTGCAATTTAAGCATTTTCGTGATCCCAGATAGTTGTTTGATAATATCCGACACCAAAATGATTTTTTTAAGTTTTTTGGATATTTTCGAAAATTTTCTGACTATGGGTATGCCTTCGAAAAAATCAAAATTTCAAAAAAGTTGAGTTTGGTATTGGATATCATAAAGCAAGTATCTGAGATGAAGAATATGTAATTTTTTTAAAATCTGATCAAAATTGAATTTTTGGCGGATTTTTTAATGAACCAAAACAGGGTATTTTTCGTGTTTTTCGCACCTTTGAGTGGGTGTGGCGGGCGCAAATGTGGCCACGGAGTCAAACCGTTTCAGGGTTTTAGTACACTCATGGAGTACTACAACATATCCAAAGGGCATCGGATTCTGTGAGTGGCAAGTGGTGAAGCTCCCCTCCTAAGTACATAAAAAGCGTTTATGTAATCTGCAGTATTACACTGCAGATTTTTAATTAAAGCAAAAATATTGCATTAATTTTGCGCTAATCCTTCACATCCGTAACACAAAGCCAAAGCGAAGTAAAAAATTAATTCTAGTTATTCCGAACAAATTCTAGGGCTGAAAGCATGCATTTTGAAATTACAAATTCGTACAAATGAATCTGTATATATTACTTTGAATTTTTGTTGTAACATTTGTTTCCATAATTTGCACCAGCTTTATTAACATATTCGTTTCCTCATATACACAGGCCTACATTTTAAACACAGGCTGGTTATCTCTTCACTCAATTATGTTCACAAAACCTTATCGACATCAACATACTTGCTCTCATATATTGCGTTGCAGCCCTGAACTAACGACCTTATCTCGATTCCTTCCAAACTTATCCCTGCCACCAGCTCAGAGGTTGAGAAGCAGGTCGAGTTTCCAGAGAAATCCTCATTTATAAATCCAGTCCAATTCGACCTTCCAGTGAGAGCCATATAGGTCGGGACAAATCCGAAACTGTTGGCCGCTAAGTTAGTAAAAATGCGTTCGGTTCCACCCGCTGGATCATAGCTACTTCCGCTATAAATCGATACAGAAGGCGTTGTTGTTTCCAAGGGTCCCAAAAATCGCATGGACATTGTTGAATTAACCGACGTATTTGTGCAAGTCATTCCACCCGAATTATAGGCAAACGTACTCCCATCAGTGTAACCTGTCCCACCGAATCCTTGCCAACTATAAAAATATGAAAAAATCTCATGTCGCAGAATCCTAAAATAGGTAGTCATATTTTAATGTTCAAAAAACCTCGTAGCAAAAAGGTTTCCCCCTGGTAAATACAGTTCTAACCCACTTGCATTAAAAAAAACTTGTCTAAAAGCTCCATAAGTTTTTGAATTACACCATTTTACTAGGAGGTTTTGTAGATCATTAAACAGGAGTATGCACACTTTTAGCAACTTGGTAATAAAAAAAACAAGCGGAGTAGATATATGACTATACCGTGACGGAATTAAAAATTTACACCACGTTGGTATAAAGTTAGTAATAAAATAACACTTTTTGGTAATAATTTTAACACTAATTTGTGTTACTTTTTTTACCATATAGTATTGTTTTAATACCAAATCATTACTATCGCGGTAGAGTCATATATGCCCTCCGCGCAGTAATGATTCATTAAAATTTTGTTTAGGCTGTATAGAATTATTTATGTTTCTACATTGAATTGCAGTTCTGGGAAAGTTAGATTAGGTTAGAAAGTATTTTTTTAGAAACTAAATTAATAACATAGTCAAACAGAAATGTCATTTACTGCATGAGTTATAGTACTGACCTAGACACGGTCACCATGATCTAATTTATCAAAAGAAAGCAGAAAAATGTCCGCAATTTTATTGCCCCAAGGCTTGTTCCTATGAAATTTGGGATTTGTGGGTGCAATTGCGGTCGAGAAAAAGAGGGTTCTCAATTGGAGCCACTCCCCCCCCTGACATGCCCCCCGAAATTTTAAAAATTCCGGGGTAATGGTTTTTTTCCATATTCTAAGGCCCAGTAACACATACTTGAAGGATTTCTAAAACATCGATTTTTTGACATCAGGTCCAGTACCATAACTCATGTATTCGTTTAAAATTGTGCAAATGATGCTTACTATCCATTGCCGCACAACCACTTCACCTCCCCCCAGAGGGGCCAGTAAGCCGTAAGATCTGGCTCCTTCGTTCGGAATCGAAAGGCATTCCCGCCGTAGTCCGGTTCCATGTAGAAGGTCATCTCCTGCAGGAAGCAGAGCGTCAGATTGATACAGACCAAGAAGGAAAATAGTCGGAGCCACATTGCGACACGATTTGTCTAGAAAATAGACTGATTAATATTACCAGAATCGATTGTATTTTATATCTGCAACTCAATGCGTCACTCTCATTGGTACAAATAGCAAACATTGAGTAGTTTTTTTTTTGGACTGAGATACGGCCATGTTTCTATCTTATCTCCAAAAGGCTTAACCCATCAAATTCAACAAATTGGTTCAAACTATGTTTAAACAATTTGTGACATTGCGTGTTCACAAGTTTAATTAATTTGTGATAAGGCAATGGATGATGTGTTCGTCCCTAATATTTTACAATGCATGTGACATGATCATGGTTGAGTAATAATGTGCATGAATGCAGTAGATAATTGAAAAAGATTCGGAAACCCTGTATGTACCCATGTCTGATGGTTATCTCCTGAAAGTACTCAAGTTTGACCTTCATAACCAAATTAGCACAATCTCATTATTTTTTACTCTATCTAGAAACTATCAAAATACTTATCTCCCAAACAGCCAGCCCCCCATAAAAACAGTTTCCAAAGTATCCCACAAATTTTTGGATTGGGTCGGCCACAATTGAAAGACAGAAATAATACTACAGATGGAAAAGATGCTTTTATTTAATTGAAGCATTTAAGGTTAATGCTTTATTTGAAGACTGCAGTCCAGGTTGTATTAATCATTCTTTTTGTAATCGAGAAGTGGGGGTGGTATGCAGAAATACGAATTTTGTGCATGTTTTTAAAGATATCTGTACGGGTAACATACGGAATTAAAAAAGTAAAGCTCAAAGTTAAAAATTTATGCAGGAAAAGCACGAAAAACCTATTATGTACAAAGTCAAGCTAAGTATTGAAGCATCAGTTGGTAAGCGTAAGAATAATTATGTAGCTTAAAATTCATGACCCACGCTAGTGTATGAACGCATTAGAACTAGTAATTTAGAATTCTGAATTCGTAAAAATTTATGATCAGTTTGAAAATAGTTAAGGATTCATACAGACAGGAAAATTAAAGTTACCTCAAACCCCATAGTTTACCGAGCAAATGTTGCTTGCCTTACGAGGCTGCCTTTACTCGAGTTAAGTTGAGTAAATTATTTACTTATTTCGCGATAAAACCATGCGAAAATGATTCAACGTAGATGCCGTGCGCCTTTTATTTCCTGGAAATAGAAGAACTCCGCGTGGACGATTTAAACCTAACCACATTTTCTCAGAAGATTTTTTACACACATGGATTTACTTGAATTTATAACGAATGAACAACTCAAGTCCAAAATTCAGGCTTATACATATATATTTCTCTTACAAACACTTTATTTGCCCGTGTTGGTTTACATGTCTCGACTAATTTTGCTGTTGTCAAGTAAAAAATTGATGCAATACAAATAGTACCTGGCTGCAGGATCGATAGCTTTTACAATTCCTATGTTTTCTTAATCTCGATTGTTATACATATTTAATACATGCCAGACTTCGCCGTTAACAGAATTCCGAAAACTTTTAGAAAGCGTACGTATGTAGTTGATAATCGTCGTACATACATGCTCGTTAAAACAATAATATCTCAACTCGTGTCGTGCATCGATTACGTATTCTAAGTAATTGGACGTTTCAAATTCCTAGTAAACTATTTTAACGGATAAACTAATGCACACCTCTTGATAACTAATGGGTGAAATATTCACCAATAAAGTGAACCGCTTCTCCGCTTTCCAATTATTAAACAAAATTCGTAAATACGAGTTTTAGGTGATTTTACGAGTTTTAGGAGATTAGGTATTTAAACATTTAATACCTAATATCCTAAAAACTGTCGGATTCAACCTTCTGCGTAAATCACTAATAATTTACCCAACCCAATAAAAGCTCGTCACATTTCACTTAACATTCTCTCACACTGATTTAGACAAACGACACATTTGTCCAATTGCTTCTTGGGCCATCATTAAAAAAAAAGTTTTTTGCCCCCAAAAGTAAATTTTGGCTACAAACTCAAAACTGGCGCGACCCCTGTTCTTTCCAAATATAGAAACAGATTATCCCCAGCATTTGAATTTTGTGTGAAAAACAGCATTTATCCATTCCATAAAGTCTTACTTATAGATAGTTCATTAATACTTCTACGAAACTTGATAAAACGCCACATGGAGTAAAATTAAGTTGTCTTTCCTGTGTATTTTTTTGATGCTTCAAAAATCGTATCTGTCATTAACAGAACTCTTTAAGCCATAATTTCCGTTCACATTTCCTAAATAGACGGTCGCCTAAGTAAAAGTCGCCCGTCAAGAAAAAAGAGTGGCAATAAAATTACTGAATCGATTTCCATTTCCTTAATCACCATGCTGCAGGATTTTAATAACAAGTCCTTTTAAACACGAAGTAGTCGGATTACCGTAATTCATTGACACGGCTCATTTCGTATTTTTATTACATATCGATTTGTTGACTGATTTCTTGGAATTTCTGCTTTAAACAGTAGTGAAAACTGTCTCGTCCACTGCTACCAAAAGATTTAATCCATCATATTGTGCGATTTTACTTAATAACCGTTGTTATACTCAAATCGACAGATTACGATAATTGAGGTGACGCATTTCATTTCCCTATTTTTTCAATAAGCTTGCCAGCTATACAATTTCCTTCCCCATTTTAAAACAGATTTCGCTGGTGAAAACTCTCTGGTCCACTTTTTTTCAAAATTTTTGCAAAATGGATAACTTTTTACGAAAACTGGCAAGCCCAGTATCGCACTCGGAAACTTCATATCTGCCCGCGATGACCTCAACTACTAAGTGGTTGACAAAGTCGTTTGCCATCCCGATAATTTCAGAATTTGGAGGCCAGGGTTTGTCCGTCATTAACAAAATAAAACATTGGGCCATCTACGTTTCCACCGCTTTCATATTTTTCTTCCACAATGTCACATATGCGTTTTGGTTTTATGAAAATATCTATCTCTCAAATGGGACAGAAAGTCTGCAGGTTTGGCAAAAAGTGATTTCATTTTTCTTTCTAAGTAAGCACAGTATGGTGCTTGGGATCCACTTGTGTCTCCTATTCCGGCGAAGGGAACTACTACAAGTTATGAAAACTTGTGCCTGGATTGAATCCAAATGTTTGGGCGAAGGTGAGTAAGAAATTTGTATTAACGATTTTGATGGGAGTAACTGAGGGTCTTTGGACAGCCTATTCTTCACAATGCATGCTAAAGCCACTGTCAAAATTAGCCTGGTGGTAATTTTTTTATTATAGAAAATCGAAAAATAAGACGTTTATGTTCTTTCATATTTTTCAAAAAAGTGACCTTGTGACCTGTTAGAAAACATTGAAATTTTTCTAGTTAACCTGAAGGTATTTGTAAAATAGTAAAAATTTCAATGTTTTTTAACAGGTAATACGCTCACTTTTTCGAAAAATATGAAAGAACAAAAATGTCTTATTTTCCATTTTCTATAAGAACAAAATAACCACGAGGCTAATTTCGAAAGTAGCTTTAGCATGTATCGTAAAGCTTAGACTCTCTAGACACCTTGGGAAACCCTGCCTTGACAATTGGTCAGTCCGATTCGGGTTACTGAGCTTTAAGTTAAATTTCAGGCGCCTCAAACTACACGAAAATCAGCATCCTTTCTCACCTCGATGCTTCAAAGTTTTCATTATTTGCCGTCCCTATTGTGCTCGGAATGCTTGGATTATTTCGACCCTGCATGCCACCCTCAATTGCGAACACCTTAATCCTCGAGTGTCGCGATGGATTGGGCGACCAAAACGCTGCGTTGTGGGTCCGTCTACTCAATGGCTTGGCACAGGGTTCCGTCGGGCTCTCGGTAGCAGCAGTGATTGTTACCGCGATCAAACGAATTTTTCTTTATCCCGCGGTAATGGTGGAATTGTGGATCAAAACGATTGAAAGGTGAGAGGCTTTAACGTTCTCTTGGTGACTAATAAAACATGACGCAATAGAACATTATGGTTGAATTTTTAAAAAGAAGACACTAATTTTTGAAAACTGGTCAACCATCCTTAGTGATCTCGGAGGACGATGGTTGGTGTGACCTAATATTCATGTTCAATTAAGCCTTACTTTTACGGCGAGAAATTGATCGTAATTTTACGCTCACCTGAGTACGAGCGAAGGATAAAGGTTGACAAGTTTTCAATACTTACTGTTCATTCGAAATTATTACGCAGTACAAAATCTTGAACATTCTTTGGCCGACGATTTTGAGAAATACATTATTTTCCACCTGATTTTTAAGCGTTTTCAATGACAATCAAAAATTTGACATTTTAAAAAATTTCGAGGACTTTACTGCAAATTAATTTTGAACGAACGGTAGTGTCTTCTTTTAAAAGTTCAACCATAAGTCTGTAAATACATCTGGTGTCATAATCATTACTAAAATGCGTCCCAACATTTAGACAACTTGACCATGGATTAGCGGGTTTTCGTGTCGCACAAGTATTTCAAAACCTGAACAACGCTCTCATGCGGAAGCCTCTCAACAACCTCTTCGTCCTGCTGTGCATCGTGTGTCAAGTAATCTCACTCTACGTGATCATAACATCCTGGGACAATATCAGTCTGGGCGTTTTTGCATTCTTCTACTTGATGGGATTCGACTTCTTTATAATGATCCATGTCACGCTGCATTCTCAGAGTAAATCCTACCTTGCGAGTGTAAAGTTTTCCGAAAACATGGAAAGTCTGCAGTCACGGAATCCTTGGTTTAAGAAGTTTTTGACGTCGTGTCCTCCCTTAAAAGTGGGGATGGGAGATGGCAAATTTTTCGATGGGTTGTCAGCATTCGTAATTTGGCAGTTTTGCGTCGACAGACTCATTAACTTGTTGCTCATGGAGAAATAAGTAACTGGATTGTCCGAATGATAGTAATTGTAGCATTGCAAATTATAGCATCTTGTAGTTTCATTCCTAGAATTCGAAGAAATACCCGGTTTAGTGGAGAAATATAGGTCAAAGCTTAATAAATAACCAAGCAGACTGAAGTGCCCCTCCTACAACCGAACCCTTAACAACGACAGCTAAAGGTTTACAATCATGTTTCCATCATTCTTAAAATATGTCCAAAGACCATGATATTTACCATTTTCAAATC